AAACAAGGTTAGAATTTAGGGCCACTGAAATTCTCCCTGGCTTCTTGGAGTTATATCAAGTTTTTTATATCATTGAAATCGTGATTTAACAAGCTACAAGTTTCATGTTGCGAGATTTCATTTTTAAGTATGTATGCAAGAGTTACAGTTTGTACATGGCGCACGCATTTTTCTGGTTTAAAGGACAGGGACGAAGTGGGAGTGGGCCTGGGCTTGGCTTGTTGGACTATTCACACCCCCCATTCTGTTATTTGCACCCCCTTGGCCCTTTTTCTTTATTTTGTATATTTTCCATTTCTATTATTATTTTCTGACTTTATTTATTTTTTCCAAACATTTAAAATCACAAAAAATATTTTCTTTATTTTTGCATATTTATCATATTTTTTATATTTTATTTTTGCATAATAAATAGTTTATTAAGTAATAATATACTTTTATTTTCTTAAATAAACTTGTAAATAATATAAAAAAATTTATATATTTTTATTTTTATTATTTATACACTTAAATTAATATTTTCATACAATATTTAATTTTTTTAACATTTTTGTATATATTATTATTATTTTTCTTAAACAAAAAATGAGTAAATAAATAATTAGAAAACATTATTTTCTTAAAACCAAAATTAGGGTTTTCACCCTCTCAAAAATAATCATTTTATTTTTCTTATTTTAAGACTTAAATAAACTCATATTTTACATACATAAAATAAATACAAAAACATTGTGCATATTTACATTTTATTTTACATTTAAATAATTGTTCATTTATTTATTGTATATATATTCAATTGGGTTGTAATAGTAAACTAGGATTTTATTTTATGCAAATCCCCCCTATTCAAACTTGTACCCCCTTCCCATAATATTGTTGTAATAGTTTAGATTTACATTACACAATTTATCATATTATATGCATGATAGTAAGATTTGGGTTTTGTATGCAAAGACCAAAATCAAACAAATAGCATGACTTAACAAGACAAAAAATGCATGAAAAATGACAACACAATGCACACAAGCATCCCTAGGGTTTCATCCACTTTGTTGCCTTAAAAAATGGTCATGGTATGCATGCTAGGTATCTTGGAAAAACAAAACAAAAACAAAAAGATCATAGTCCCTCAGTGACGCTATCTTGGTTGCCTAAAACAAATGATCTAGTCCCTCAAAATCTTGCTAAAGATACTTGGCACAATTTTTATCATGGTCATACGATGACCCGCGCCTGTCCCGTTTAACATCCAAAGATAGGGTTGTTTACCAAATACAATGGTAAAACAACAATGTAAAAGGGTTGAAATGTACAAGAAAGACTTTTGATTAGGGTAGACAACTCCTAGTTACTTGATCAAATTTGCAAACATCCTTGCTATTTTCAAACAAACACACACAATTTCAAAACAATTTCCAAACAACTTTGAAACATTGAAACATTTTTCAAAAGTCAAACACCTTTGTATACATTCAAACAAAGAATCATTACAAAGGTTGCCTAAACAAAGGCCTCTTTTCAAAATACTTTCAAAACCAACAAAAGCACCATTTCAAACAATTGAAAAGCAAAAGCAAGTGATCTAAACAAGTAATTAAGAGCCCATGGAAAACCATGGATGAAAAGGGTGCTACCACCTTCCCTTTTCATAATCTACCCCCCGAACCCAAGAAAACATCTCAAAGGTCTTTCCTGTGCTTTTTGACCTTTCCTTTGGATAAAATAAAAAGTCGATGGCGACTCTTGCTCAAGTCAGTTCTCCCACCGTATCACACTTAAGAATTAGGGTTTTCTTCTGTTATGCTTCAATTGGGGATCATTGGATTAGGGCTCAATCTTGTGGTTATCTTGGGTTTCTCCTTCTTCAACATTGTGGAATTGTTTTGAACGATAAGTTTTTGGTTCTCATCAAATATTTGTTACTTGAATTCCAAGTTAAATTGGACTATTGAGAGAAATGATTAGTGATATGGGTTCGTTGAAACTTCTAATTGTGCTCACAGTTAATATTGATTCAAGGGCTTATTAAGTTCATGACTTTGTTAACGGTTGATTCAAGATAGGGTCAGGAGCTTATTTAGCTCATTTTTTCAAATAAAAGATGTTTGTTTCAAATGTAAGATGACTAGAATTTATGGATTCAACTGAGATTATGGTTCATTGGCCAAGCACACCATTTGAAGTCAAATAAGTTCGACTTGTCATGAACGCTTGAGTTACATTAAGGATTGATTTAAGATAAACGTGGAATTCTTGTGAATTATGGATTGAGATGTTTCTTATACAAGTTTGCAAGTATAATGTGAATTAGGGTTTATTTCCTCATTAATGTGATGGCCATGGAGTTTCTTTTGTGAGGTCTTACTTCTCTATAAGTTTGTTTAGTCAGACGACATACTTGATATCACCAGGGGTTGAGAGTTAAGCAGGTTTTGTTCATTAAGGTTGATATCATTTTACTTAGGATGCTAAGTTTTCTTTTGAAGGACCTCATTCAAAATAGGAGTTTGGACATGGAGTTTGGCATTAATTGAGTTGGATTATTTCTGAGAGGTTTTGGACCAAAATCATTCTTAAGCCAAATGTGTATTCTTGATCTTATTGATAGTAAGGACTTGAAAGTGCAAATTCATTTAAAGGAAAAGAGTCGTAGCCTGACATCGCCTTAGTTAAGCAAAGTTCAAGTTTATAGTATCACCATTCAAGTTCATTATTAATCAAACACTACTCATAATTCATCGTCCAGAACTCAAAAGTGATTCAAGATGGTTATCTAATTAAATTTCGTTCAAGCATAAAGTCCATACAGAGATTTCAAGACGCATTCACCAAGATACATTCAGGGCATTATGCACATTGCACAAATAAAGATTACATACGAGAATCCTATTGTTCTGAACCTATTCTAAATGGATTCACATTCCAAATGACCATGCTTCGTTGTAACTTCATATTTCTTTAATGTGTTAGAAACCAACACCTGTTGTACGAAGGATAGCCCTGCATTAGAACATCAGAAGATATAAAAAAAGAAAGCAGTAGAGCTAAGGGTGAAGCTTAGAGCCATGCTTGAGAACAAATGCAAATTAATTGAGTTGTACGAACAGGCCGCTGCTGAAAATAATAGAAATATTACTAAAAGAAGAAATTCTCAAGAAATTCGGGGCACTTCTATGGCTACAGCAATGCCAGCAGCAAGTTTCCAAAATCTCAAGTCACTTCAAGGCCTAATAGTTATTTGGCGATTGCAACTAGTGGAGGCTTGAATCAACAAAGAACTGGGATTACAGATGTTGTTGTTGTTGCACGAATTTTGAATGCTACTTTGGTTGTTCCAAAATTGGATCAACAATCTTGCTGGAAAGACTCTAGTAACTTTTCAAAGATCTTTGGTGTTAATTGATTTACCTGCCAAAATTATCAAGCAACTCCCAAGTATTAATAAAGGTAGGAAAGCATTATCTGCATATAACATGCGCGTTCCAAGAAAATGTAATGAGAGATGTTATATAAATCGTATACTGCCTATACTCGTGAAAAAGCGTGATGTTCAACTCAACAATTTTGACTACATGCTTGCAAGCAGTTTGGATACTGAGTATCAGAAGTTGAAATGCAGAGTTAATTACCAAGCTCTAAGATTTACTGATCTAATACAAGAAATGGTTGGAAAATTGGTCAAGCAGATGAGGATGAGAAAGAAACATTACATTGCATTGCATTTGAGATTTAAACCTCATATGCTTGCATTTTCAAGATGTGACTATGGAGGGAGAAGAAAATAATTTCACAATTAAATTCAAGCTCTGATTCAGTAACATCTGATAAAATAAAATGAGAAACAAAATTAAAGAGGAAAGAAAAATCCAGTTCAAAGGAGAAGGAGTTAACGCAAAAATTGGAAAAGGAGAAACAGAAAACCAGAAAATCATTAAATCAGAATATGCACTAACAATAATAGAGTTTTCTTAACTGCCAACTCATCAACTTCATACCTATAACAGAATTCTCTAACAAAGATAACAATTTCAACTACTTTGACTCGGCTAAGTAACTGGCAACAAAACGATATAACCAACTTCTATCAATTTCAATATCTCTATCAATCTATAACAGAAAATTCAACCACCTGAACAAAATTACCTAACTGCCCTAACTGTTAACAGAACTTTAAACCAACCTATAACCAACTGTAAGAAACTTCCAAAAAATTGCTAACAGATTCTAAGAGCAATGACAGAAAGGGAGGGGAGGGATTCAGATTCATTTTTATAACTCTATAGAAGAGATTAAGACAAAAAAACTTACCAATGGAGATTCACGCTGGAATTCTGTAGAAGAATCTTCATTTTTCCCTGCTCTGACCTCATTCTTCCCTACCTAATCATCCTTCTTCCTTCTCTACAACAACCACATCAAACACTTTCATCAACCTATATAAGCAAAACTCACCTTCATTCAACAAGAAAACCATCATTTCATGAATTCATTCTTGACCCTCTTCATAAGTTCTCTCTACAACCTCTCTTCTCTCAACCGTTTTCTCCATTTTTCTTCACTCATCTTCTACCACCACCTTCCAACAATTTCACTGATTATCCTTCTCTGAACGCACACTCACGGAACTCCATCACCCCTAACCTTTATCTTTCTCACATAAACTCTTTGCCATCATAATCACTTTCAATCCTTCATCTTCAAGACCCTGCAATTCTTCATCAAGGTGCTTCTTCGATCATCGTCATCAACTAATACTCTATATCCATTGCTCAATATTCACCATCGAAGGAGGAAGCATATCAATCCTGCAACAGATTCGCAGAACTGCAGTGACAATTTCAACATCTTCTCTTCATCGTCGGCTTCAAAATTCTCACTGCAACATCCCAACCAGATCACACGCATCAGTACTCTCTTTGTTTATATCATATCTCTTTGTTTATATCATATCTCTGTTTGTATGAATCGAGGCCGAAGAGAGAAGGCGGATAAAAAATCATTCACGGAGTATTGAATCGCAAACGAGACTGCGATAGATGAAGGTGAATGTTGTGATAAAGATAAGGAAATTTTGTTAATAGAGATAAGAAATTAGAAGTGGATGATGGAAGTGCAGATTCAGTGGAGATCTGTGAAGAAGCTGATGGCGTAGTTCTCATGCGAAGTAGAAGAGGTTGCAACGAAAACGCCTGAAGGAAAAGGGAGGCGATCGAAATCGATTCAGAATGGCGGGGGATCAGAGCTGTGCCATAGAGATTGAGAGAGGAAAGAGGGTTTATGTTCAAAGAAGTGGAACAGTCACATTCTAGACCTGGTTTACAAAACGCAGCGTATCAAATCCTTTCTCTTTAGCTTTATTGGTGGATCTGGATAGGAGATGTTTTGGGCTATTATTGTATGAAAAGCCTGATATCCGTTTTTGGCATGGCTGGAGAAAGATGAACAAAAAAGGCTTAGCAAATTGGGCTCAGCATTCCACTCAATCTACACCCTTTTCCAGTTCACTACACCTCACAGCTAATTCTTAGTTTCTTTTAAATTTTTGTTTTGTAAAGAAATTAATTATGATACTTCCCTTTACAAGTTTTAACTGAAATTTTGTGTGGATATTAACATGTTGATTTCTGACTTGGTGATATTTTTTTTCCATAATTTTTTTTATTATTAGTTTAGGAATTAATCGAGCTAATGCTTGTTATATGTTTAGAATTAGGATTTTAATGCATTTTTTGTCGATCTCGTATCCTCGATCCAATTCCCTTGGCATGATCAATGGTTTAATAGAATTTTTGATTATGTGCCACATTCGCAACACACGTTTGCCTTTATCTTAATTGGATATTGTTTCTGACTTTGTTTGTTTCATGGTGAAGCTTGCTCGACGCGTACTCCCTGATTTTTCATTGCTTTCGTTTGCTCTTGACGACTTACTTGCTTTGGTAGCCTCCGCTACTACCCTTGTACTTCTCTGCACTTTATCGTATTTCGTTATCACTTTCTAGATATCCTGAGAAGTAGGAAATAAAGAGCGTGTGCTTGAAGTCGCTGTTTAAAGACTTGTAGCAGGCATTCCGCACTTCATTTGCTATATGTGTTGTGCTTGTGTTTGTTTACTTTCTTGTTGATCGATGAGTCACTCAATTTAGCAATTGAGATCACAACTTCACTCTCAATGCATGCTCCCTATAGGATTTTATCGCTTTCCTTTCTTTCTTATTGATCGATGAGTAACTCAATTTAGAGATTGAGATCACGACTTCTCTTTCATTGCATGTTCCCTATAGGATAGTTTTGTTAGACTTTCTTTGGCATGCTAACCTAGGCAGGATATCTTTAGGTGCTCTCTTGATCTTATTAGCTTGTTTGCTTTATCCCTGTACATACCATGTTCCCTTAGGATGTGCTTGCTCTGTTCGAACGCAAGTTAGACCTTAGATTGCAAACTATGCATGCTAATAGTAGGTAGAAACTTCCCCTTCCATCCTTGACATAGGACTACCATTGTATGATAACATTAGGTTAGAGATAGGTTAGTCTCCCTTAGATGTTTTCATCCCTTTTTGCATCATTGCACTTAAAACTAAAACTTCTTCTTTTTCTTGGCAAATGAATAAAAAATGCTAAGCATACAAAAATTCTTTTCATGGGAAAAAAAAACAACCAATCCATTTCTTTTCGCCATTCGGATTTTCTCTTCTAAGAGCATGTTAGCTCATTTCCACTACAGGTCGTAAGTCTCCAAAGGTCAAGCAGCGGTGGAATAATCGAATGCAACATTGTTCACTTTAAAAAATACAAACAAACAAAATATATGAGCCGAACTACGGTAGCTCTGATTCCTCAAAAAGGATACGTAGGCATTGGGGTAGGGCCCAAGCGAGTACAACTTTATTTTCCCTACATTCTTTCTCTTTTCTTTGCATGCATTCCCTCTTAGTTTATAATCCTTAAGCATTAGATTTAACACACCCTTGGATTAGAATAACGAGAGTGGATCCCATAGAGTACTATGGACGTGTGGGGTACTAATACCTTCCCCTCGCGTAATCGACTCCCTTACCCAATCTCTCGGTCGCAAGACCTTGATTTCCCCTTTAGGTTTTCTTCGATGATTTTACCTTCCCTTTCATATGGGATAAATAAATACTCGGTGGCGACTTCATTGATTTTTACCGCTACAGAAAAATGGCGACTTCACTGGGGAAATGTTGACTAATTGCTGGTCCATCCCGTGAGTCACTCCTACCTCCTATTTTTTCTTTTCTTAGGGTGTTTATCATTATGATTTTATGGATTATTCATTTGTATATGTTTAAGCATATGTTTGCATTGCATATTTATTGTTATTTGTCATATTGTTGTTGTGCTGGTTTCTCTGTCTCTTGATGGGTGGGATGTTACTATGAGGTAAAAGGCCCAATACCCAGGCCAAACGGAAACAATAGGAACACTAGGAATAAAGTGGAACATGAACGACTAGTTGACTTAGGTTTCACTATGACTCCATGTCGTCCATGCTCAGATTAGGTACAAATGAGGGGCTATCATTTTAACATAGGTGATATGGAGATAGTTTTCTCAGGAGTACCCTTGATTATGAGTTACCATTGGCCTTACCATGACCTAGTCTTTACCCGTGAGTGGGGAGGGAATGATCTTTATAGGTACATATGGTGACTATACATGTTCCGTTGGTGACTCTGATTATATTGATGACTTTGATCCTTGGTATTCTGATTTGGTCCGGACCTTTGACCTTATTACACATGACAGTGGTTCTATTATCAGTTCAATAACTATCCAGCATGCAGAAACTTTGATCTTATGATTATTTCACTTGCATCATGGCATATTTATTTTATAAAAGAAACGCAAAAAAAAGGGAAAGAATTCTCCTGGAAATGATAAGACACTTCATGCATAACCATTCATCCATGTATACCATATCATGACAGGTGGGTCACGATAGGTTTTCTTATCTTTGATTCGGGTTTCTTTACAGAGATTGCTACCACAAATTTTCATCATTATAATACTCGAAGCACTTTCAAAAGGCAAATGGAAAACTCGAACAAGAGAATCGTGAACTGCGCGAAGAGGTTACCGCTTTGAGAATCAGAATGGCGAAATTGACTGCTTTGGTAGAGTCGTTGGTGGCTGCTCAGAATCAGCCACCACCACCTCCACCCCCTCAAGTTACGCAACCACAACAAGCAACAGTTGTCTCTAAAATTACGACAACTCCCATCTCAGCTGCTCCAAATACTACTGCTGCTCAGCATCGCATTCCTCCTAGATATCCATGGGGAATTCCCGAAGGTTATACGCCAGAAGGATATAACCCTACTCCTCAAATTTCTCAATCTGCTCAACAAGTTATGGCTTCTTCCCCTCCTATGGTATACGTTGCTCCTGTTGTCAGCAATGAGATCCGTCATGTCGTGCCTCCAGTAATGAATGTTGTCCCCGTTGTTAATGATGTGGTTCACCATCCTACTCCTCCGCCAAGCGAAGGAATTGGATTCTATGACAGAATGGATTACTTCCAATATCAGTTTAATGAGATGCGAAAGGAAATGAAAGCCCTCCGGGGAAAAGAACTGTTCGGACAGAACGTGAGCGATCTATGTCTAGTTCCAAATGTAAAAGTACCTGCGAAATTGAAAGGGCGAGTTAGAGAAATATAAGGGCAATACTTGCCCCCGTGCTCATCTGATAATGTGCGTGAGAAGGATGTCCACTCACACTGACAATCAACGTTTGATGATCCACTTCTTTCAAGATAGCCTGACTAGTGCTGCACTAAAGTGGTACATGAGCTTGGATAGTGCTAATATTCATACCTTCAACGACCTAGGAGAGGTGTTTGTCAAAAAGTAAAAGTATAAAGTGTACATGGCGCCTGACCACGATCAACTCAGGGCTATGGTCCAGAAAGATAAGGATTCGTTTAAGGAATACGCGCAAAGGTGGCATGAAGTGGCCGCCTAGGTAATCCCCCCAATGGAAGAGAAGGAAATGATGAAGATCTTTTTAAAGACTTTGGGTTCCTTCTACTACGAAAGAATGGTAGCGAGTACACTGAGTGACTTCACCGAAATGGTGGGTATAGGTGTTCGCTTAGAGGAAGCCGTAAGAGAAGGCCGTTTGACGAGAGATGAAAGTTCTAGTGGTGCAAAGAAATAGTCATATGGATTTGCTAGAAAGAAATAAGGAGATACGGATGTCGTTGTTCAAGAGAGAAGAGCTAAACCGCCTAGAAGGCGTCAAGAACATCCACGACAGGTTACTTTGGTCACTCCGGTTGTTAACATGGCCCTGACTGCTGTTGCGTATCAAAGAACACCTCAACAAGGCAGCCAAGGGCAGAGTCAGAGGAGAGAACCCTTTGACCCCATCCCTATGAGTTACACAGAGCTATTTCCAGCACTGATTCAGAAAAATTTAGTGCAGACCAGGAGTCCACCCGCTATACCGTCTCCTTTACCATGGTATTACAAGGCAGATCAGATGTGTGCCTTCCACCAAGGAGCCCCTGGGCACAATCTCGAAAACTACTATTCTTTGAAGTCTGAGGTTCAAAAGATGGTTAGATCTGGAATTATGTCCTTTAAAGACGTCGGTCCCAATGTGAAAGACAACCCGTTGCCTAAACATGGAGGTGGAGGAACGGTGAATATGATTTCTGATGATCTAGGAGAGTCCTAGATTTATGATGTGAATTTGATAAAAGGAAATTTGGTGAAGATGCACGCTGACCTGTGTAGGCTCGGCTATTGTATGCATGACCATAATATGTGTAATATTTGCAGCCAAAATAGTCATGGATGTGATAAGGTGAAGGTAGACCTCCAAAAAGTGATTGATGAAGGCCTTGCTTGTGTTATCAGGACCAAGACTGAATGTGAAGAAGGAGTGAACATGGTGCACGGATGTCCCGGCGAGTTCCGAATTTCTGATGTGAATGGTATGGAGGATAATATGGTTTAGTTACATGCCAATTTTTGCCATATACCAGGGCAAGAGTTACACCAATATGGTGGTTGTCGGATCTGTTGTAGATATCCTTGTGGTTGTTCCTTAGTGAATAGGGGTATCCAATTACTTCTAGATGAAGGAACTATTAGCGTCACAAGAAATAGAGATGGTTATGATGGAGTCAACATGGTTGAGGACCATTCTGGTGAGATCGTGTCGGATAATGAATACATTTCTGCTGACGAATTCTTTTCTGATGATGAGTCTAAGCATGTGGTTAAAGATGATACTTTCGTTGGTGATTTCATAAAGTCTAGATGTATAAGAGAAGTAGGGGTGAATGTTATTGTACCTCATTTTGACATTCTTGCTCCGGTGGAGATTACATATTGCAACAAGCCTGCAATAACCCCTATTGTTATATGTTACCTGGTCTTGTCCCATATGAATCAGATAGAGCTGTACCCTATAAATACAATGCGACCATCCTAGAAGACGAGATCGAAGTCCCGATACGACCTTTGACACATGTGGAGAATATTGCTGAAGCCAGTCGAGTAATGCGTAGTGGCCGAGCATTTTCTCCTACTTTCCAGGGAGATGTTGATCATGGCAAGAAGGTCGTTGAAACTAATGTTGAACCTGAAAAGGCGGTCGGGGAATCTAGCGGCACTACTTTAGAGAAAGAAGTCGATGATGTGCTGAAGATCATTAAGATGGGTGACTACAAGATCGTGGATCAGTTGTTACAGACCCCGTCCAAGATTTCTATATTGGCCTTATTGATGAATTATGCGGTCCATCGTGAATCCCTGATGAGAGTGCTAGATCAAGCGTTTGTTGAAAGAGATATGCCCATGGACCAGTTTAACGGTATTGTCGGGAATATTACTTCTTGTAATAATTTGAGCTTTCGTGATGAAGAATTACCCGAACAAGGAAGAAACCATAATATGGCTCTACACATCTCGATGAATTGCAAAAATGACTCTTTATCCAATGTATTGATTGATAACGGTTTTGCTTTAAATATGATTCCAATAAGCACCCTCTCAAAGCTTAAGTACCAAGGAGCCCCCGTGTTCCCTAGTGGTATCATAGTGAAAGCCTTTGATGGCTCCAGGAAATAGGTCATTGGAGAGGTGGACTTGTCTATGCATATAGGTCCACATATGTTCCAGATTACTTTCCAAGTGATGGATATTGTTCCTTCTTACAACTGTCTATTGGGAAGACCATGGATCCACGAGGCATGAGCTGTTACGTCGACTCTTCATCAGAAGTTGAAGTTTGTCCGGGAAGGAAAGGTGGTTATCATAAGCGGCGAGCAGGCTTTATTAATATCTCATTTGTCTTCCTTCAGTGTTGAAGAGGTTGACGAGACGGTTGTTGGAACACAGTTCCAAGAT